GACCGACTCGCCCAGCTAGTCAGCGCCACAACATGGTCTTTCCTCGAAGAAGAACCCCCGGAAGTCGCCTGGCTCGAGTTCGTCAACACATTCAGTCAGCTGATTGCACAGGCTTCAGAGATAAAAGCTTGCAATAAGTGCAAATCAGTTTCTTTCGTTAGGATCAGAACTAGAAAATGGATGACAATACGCAACGCAGCATGGCGAGTGTACAGGGAAGCTCCAGCACCAGAAACTTGGGACAACTACGTAGCCCAACGTAACCACTGCACTCAACTCTTATGAGAAGACAAAGCCGCCTATCAGCAGAACATCGCAACAACCTTCAGTGCTAACCACATACTGTTGTAAAATCAAGTTAATAGCGTACGAAATGTGAGGCAAGTATTTCCTCCACTCAAGACGGCTGGTGGCCCAACAAGAACGTCTATGGAAGCTGCAAACGCGCTGCATATGCAATACGCCCCCACGTTTCAAAGAGTCTTGTCACCAAGCGATCTACCAAGCTTTGTATTCTGCTCACCAGGAATAACCCACATCACTTTTACCGCAGAGGCTGTATTGCAAAAGCTGACTTCTCTACGTAAACACAGCTCGCCGGGTGTCGACACCATTCGTCCAGAGCCATTGGGATCAGCAGCAAACCAACTGGCAGCACTTTTAGCTCAGTTTTTCCAGCACTGCTTAGACCAGAACCAAGTCCCCGCCATGTGGAAGCTTGGAATAATAACCCCGATTCACAAAGGTGAAAGCAGAACTGATCCCTCCAACTACCGCCCAGTACCCCTTCTTCCTATACTCTCCAAGGTCATGGAATCCATAGTTGCCGATGCACTGGTGTGCTATCTGCAAAACTGCAACCTCGTCACTTCTGAACAGCACGGTTTCCGTCGACAGCGGTCATGTACAACGAATTTACTAATTGCACGCAGTAGTTGGACCGAGGCAGCTGACGCTGGAGAAGGTGTTGACGTGATCTACTTGGATTTTTCCAAGGCTTTCGACCGTCTAGACCATCGGATACTACTATCCAAGCTGCAACATTACGGGATTGGAGACCCTCTTTTAAGCTGGATCACCAACTTTCTACTTCAACGGCAATTAGTGGTCAGAGTTCGGAGCTCTTTATCGGACCCAATCAAGTCGAGTGTGGTGTGCCGCAAGGCTCGGTTCTAGGTCCACGTTTGTTTTTGGTGTTTATTAATGACCTTGCACTAGGAATCGCTTCAAACTTCCTAATGTTTGCTGACGATATCAAGATCTGGCGCAGGATCCAGGCGAACGCCGACCAACATGTGCTTCAGAGTGATTTAGGTACGGTGTATCAATGGTCGACTCAAAACTCATTGCATTTCAGCGTCAGTAAAAGCAAGGTGCTTTCCATCCGACATCAAAGCATCTACTCATACCGACTCGGAACGGATGTACTGCAACAATCAACTCTCGAACTTGACTTGGGTGTCCTGGTTCCAGATGACTTGGATTGCTCCAGGAAATCCGAAAAGGCCTCGAAGACCGGGAACCAACACGTCGGGCTGTTGAGGCGGGCGTTTGGACAAATAAACAGCTCCATATTTCGACAACTGTTCAGTGCGTATGGTCGCCCCCATGTCGAATATGCAATTCAAGCCTGGCATCCATGGCTGAAACACGACCTTAATGCACTGGAGCAGCCACAACGGCAGGCATCTAAGAACGTAATTGGAATGCGCAATCTTTCCTACCAGGAGAGACTGCAATTACTGGGATTGTTCAGTGGAAGCTATCGCAGACTACGAGGCGACCTTATTATGGCATACTTGATTCGGTGAGACCCACATCATGTGTGCCGCCCTTTACTGCAACTCAGCAGCAATACAAACCTGAGGGGCCACTCATTAAAACTCACAGAACAATACTGTCGTCTGGAGTGCCGCAGAAATTTCTTTTCCATCCGTGTCTGTCAGCCGTGGAATGCTCTCCCAGAATCGGTCGTCTCTGCATCAACACTAACAGTATTTAAAAGACGGTTGGACGATGCACTCATCGACTTACACTTTGTCACTTAACACTACGTCTCCATCCTACACCTGGAGTTTACCATGGAATTATTTGTTTTTAACTGTGGATGCTGTGAATCTAAGAGGATCGCAGGACTGCAGCGAAGCAAACGATAAGTCCTTATTTTCATATTTAAAGTATTAACTATTTTACTATCCTTATCATCATTATTGTTATGTTGATATCCCCACTAACTATCCAACGGGACTTGTAAAGCAACGCTTCTTAACCCGTATAATTCATTGTTCATTGTTCATTGTATCCAAACCCTAATTCCTGGCCCTCTCCCACCATGCTTTGATGGACATTTATCTTCTTATTTCAACTGACATGTAAAAGCGAAGCGTCACACTTGCCCTATCGACAAGCCCAAGTCCAAATAAGCGGTCAAAGGCAGAATATCGGCTTCTATTTTGAGCTCCTCAAGCTAACTCAGCTTAGCATGCCTCAACTTACGCATATTGTTAGAAATCAGTCAAAAAATAGCACTTGACCGAACATTAGGGACCCTCTTAATCGATATCTGCTGCCTCTCGGAAACCCGCACTTAAATATCTCCAGCAGTGTAAGACGAGGATGGCCGGTTTCAGCTCTCCTCTTCAACTTCATTATTGACAATCTATACAGAGTGCGTTCACAGGACACGACTTAGCAAATGTGGAGCTGCTCACAGTTGAACGACTTATTGACCTGGATTAGGTTGATGATATTGTCCTAATCGGTGACAGTTCCCAAGCGTACTAAGCGGTACCGGACAGATTAGCACTGGCAGTCGATTACTTCGGACTATACTTTGCACCCTCGAAGTGCAAAACTTTCCTCCAAGATCAACAGGGATGCCTCTTGCGCCGACCCTTGGAAGGGGGATCAGCTAGAAGACGTTTAAAAATGCAACTACCTAGATACTTGTAGCAGCGTTGTTAGAATTTAAGACGACGTCACGAACCGTAAAAAGTACTATGTACTTTAGCTATCCTTCGCTACCTATGGCGCAGGGGCGACACCACTCTCCACCAGAAGGGTAGAGTATACAACGCAACCGTACGTTCGGCCCTACAGTACGGTTCTGAAACGTGGCTCCTTAGATAAGCAAACATAAAGAGTCTAGTTGCCTTCGAACACCGGTGCCTTCGCAGTTTGGCTCATATCTAATGGGAACATTGTTTGAGTACTGGGCGTGCTCGACGCCTTGTTTATGGCACAGAAAGAGGAAGCGAACCGCTCAGCACCGTTATTTCACGCGCCAGGCTCCGATGGCTGGGCCACGTGTTGCGCATCCTAGCACAACGACTAGCACAACGACTAGATAGTTTGCGTGCCGCTAGTGTGAATGTAACAAGAGGAGAGGTATACTAGCGATGACTTAGTCAAGAAGAATGAAGGCCCTTAGTTTGTAGTTGGCTTTGGTTGGAGCCTTTCGGCTCCCTGATTGTGGACCGAAGGACGATGAACAAGTTTGGTTGGATATACTTGTTGATATAGCAAGAAACCCATTTCATAAAGTTTGTGTTGTGAGTTCCTTGGTCCCTCCTACTCCCGCTTAGCCTTCATACCAACCACAGTCGCATCTATTAGGTATAATGTAACTTTTTTTTGCAGGACAGTAGCCGGCTGTCAGCTCTCCGGAACGATGTTCATCCGTTACTGGAGATTTAGTTGTGAGTTTATTTGTCCCTTTCCCTCCCCTTTAGCCGCTCTTCCAACCACGATTTCAAGTACTGGACAAAATGTAGCTCTTTGTGTTGCGGCACTATATCCTGCTGTTAACTCTTCGGAACGATGTCCATCCATTACTGTTGACTGCCGGCGTGCCACTTGCGTGATTTTTTCTTTGATTTTATAATAAAATCATGTGCCAGCTGTATGCCTTAACGGCGTCTCGCTGTCGTGAGACCATCACTAGTCGCACGTAGTCTGTGTATTCCGCAAGGACGCCCAGCCTCTTTGCGGACTCAAACCTGCGCCGCAAGTTTACGAGTCAAGCTCGTTACCTCTAAGTAACACAATTGACTAGGGGTATTTCACCTCTAACTAACGTTTATATTGATAAAACTAACAAAGTATTTTGGTACTAATCCTCAGGAAGCCTCACAATGATAACGTATTACAAACCAAGCGTGATGGATAAACATTGGCGCAATATACTAACTTCGGACTGAGGTAGACTCGACCAACATAGTGGTTATTTCCTATGTGATGATTCTGAGTGACTTGCGGAGTATAAATAACACTTCAAAATCTCTAGCTTTGGATTACACCTAGATTTCACTGAGTTGGTATTTGGTTGATAGAGCACACCTGACGTCCACCAGCTAGAAGATATGCGGTGGTTCATTTTTACCCAGCAGATCATTGGGGTAGCAGGGAACACGGCATCACCAACAGGCAACTGTCACAGAAAGGACCAGTCCAGACATACGTCGGAAACTCTTTGTAACTTCTGAAAAGAGTTGTTCACTAGGTACCAACACTAAACGAAACGGACTGAGCTGACTAAATGTATACAAATAGTTCGCCAGCGCAACGCTTATAAGCTTTCCTAGCAGGTTGACCAGTGCGCTTGTGACCTTACAGTTCTGCAATTCATATTCAGGTGCTTGCCGTGCATTTGAAGTGGATGGCACAGACAACCATCGAGCCTAAAAGTGTGATTCAAAAATTCGCTTAAAGTTCCTGACAAGCATGTCCTTCTGCATCTAAGTAAAACGCAGCAGGTATAGTTACAAATTCCCTTTCTTGGAAAAGAACAAATCACCGCCCAGTCCGAGCATAGGGATTCCAATTAACACAGTCAGAGCAATCGACCGGATTGCTGTGTGCCAATCGATAACTAAAGTGGACTCGTAAGTGGGTACGATTTTGTCGATACGCTGGGTACCACTCTTGGTCAGGCATGTTTGATACTCCAAAGAGGTGGCATATAGCAGGAGGTAAGCCATTGCGAACAGTTGACTGGAGACACTAACTGCGCGGATCATCCAGATGCGGTTGAGGATGAATAGAGCGGGAGCTGAGCGGATGGCCAGCAGACCCATAATCAGAATGATGTGGGTGATGGCGCGAAATGACCTGGCGCGATGTGACCGACGGACGCAAGTTTGCCACACATTAATGGCTGTATTGATGTGATTTCGAACAAACGTTTCCACACTATTTGTGGAGTAGGCTTTGCTGGTTTCCAAGCGGATTTCCTTTGGTAACTGGTATTCAAATCCTTTGTTGTGATCTGAGTGAAACCCGATTCGTTTAATCAGCTGTAATTAAGAAAGAGAGAAAGGGGAGGAACAAATGGTTAGGACCAGGCGAATGCAGCAATGTCAGATAGATGCATTGGCTAGATTCCTGGATCATGGTTTACTCGCAGTCCTACTAAACCATCGTACTTTAGATCACTCCAACTGCAATACCTCTGCTGTTACTAAGGCTGCTATACCCTAAATAATGGTTTCCTGGAGAGCGGATAGTTGTCTCCTTCAGGTAACCTAGCAGTATCGCTCCTGAGTATATAAAAGCGTAAATCATTGAACAGTTATGGAACTATGTAAATACCGGGATGCACAAATTCAAGCTAGAAACTTTACTTACAGGAAGGTATATGAACGTACACGTGTTGGCTGTGTTTGTACAACATATTTTAATGACTTGAAACTTTATAGAAAGTTAGAAGTTTCAACAAAAATCGCGGTTTATGGAAAATCGTTTGAGCAAAATATTGCCTTGCAGGGAACCGTGAAAGCCACTATTTCTGTGCTTTGCAATGGTGAAATGGTATCACAATGCCAAAGCATTTTATTGTAATTTTATAACCGACAGGTTGTCTATAAAGTTCACTGAATTTACTCCGGGACATTTACCTTCTGCTTGTTTAGTGGGATACACGTGTGAGTAAGAAAAATGAAAGCATTCAACAATCATGTATCTTTTTATCCAACGATATAGTTGAAGTCATTGAGCTGCAAGACTTTAATATCAGTTGTAGGTGTTATAGATATACTTAGCATGACACTCGTAACTGGTTTTTACAGGCTGTGCTCAAATGAACAAGTTGTGTACAGGAGCATAGTGGATGGTTGCACGTTATGGTAGGAAAATCGCATTTAAGCAAATGCAGCAGATATTGAATCTTAAAAGAGCATTGCTGACCAAAAGGGGCCATATAATTTCTATGAAAAGAAAACCTAGGCAGCAACAAATAACATAGGAAGCTATACAAGTTGACAGAACCCAATCTATTCCCTGTGCATTGCAAGTTGTTCTATGCCACACCTTCCTAAGCAGTTTCAACTATAACGCTTATCCGGTGCTGTCAGACTACAAAAAGTATCTGGTTGATATAAAATATACCGTATGGTGAGCAAACTTTTTCTAGTTATGCACAGTTGTTGGTTTGGAAAAGTAAGGATAACAATTTGCTTAATGGCACCTGTGCGTTTTGCCAACAATGGCCAAACATGTTTAATTATATTGTCATTAGTCAATGAGTTTCCAATGTTCAACCACAGAATACGCCATTCCTTGTTTCATTTTGCCTTATTACCCGTCTCGATCAGTTAGCTTTCCTTTATCGAAGTTGATAGTCTATGTGTCAATGAGTGACCTATTTATTGGAGACAGTACAAACCATGTTAGTCCATTGTCGAATATTCCTCGGGCTGCGAAACGCAGTACTCGGGATTCAACTTTGATTAACGGTACCGATAAATAGTGTCTCCATTTAAACATTAGGCAAAACGTCACTAAGGAATGGTAGCCAAGCAGGATTCTTGTAAACAGTTATCCGGTTTTTCTACCTGTGTAGCTAGATCCCAAAAATAGCAGTGAAACATTCGGGAATGACGTACTACTTACAAGTAGGGAGTCGGCCAAAATTATTGGCACCAATTGCTACTGCAAAACATGATGTTTCACAGGTTATTGGGTTGCTAGAAAGGGACCATTTTCATTGTGCCTGTGACACCTGATTCACTCGTCTTTCCAACACTTAGGTCACCAAAACGTAGGTAATTGACGTTGGATGGAAAAACCGAACTTGAAACGAACAGTGGGGTAAACTGTGTGAGTGACGACAATGCCACTTTGTAAAGTATACTCACCAAGCGTTTACCGTGCTTGCATAGGCACGAGGATTTTGTTGTTATCATATTTAAAATTTATAGTGCAACTCGTCTCTACTCTTGCTTATTTTTCCTAATATTCACAGTCAAAGCGACGATACTTTTTGGTGAGTGCATCGAGTTAAGTTTATGTAATCCACAGCGACCCCGAGACAGTTGCAGTGGCCAGTGAATTGTGATGAATGAAATAACAGTGTAAAATAAGGTACGACAAGAACGACTTATTCCTGATTATCTAGTTAGCACTATCCTGTAAACGACGATCATATGTCTGTTCAGATCAGTTTCTGCAAGATATCTCACTGACGGACAAGGCATCACAAGTGACCCAACCGCGTCACCAATGATAAGCTATGGCTAAAGATTAGTACCGCCCTTTGACAGGTACTAGACACTTCCAAGGTGTCTAATACAACGGCAGCACAAATCAGCAGGCTCTGAGCTGTAGATTTTATGGAGCAGTGACCCTAAGTGGCCGGTAAGCTTACCGTGCGCACTGCTACCATTCACTGACCAATTTTAAACTTCAGATCGACGATGTTGACTGCAACAATAAGCTGTGGCGCTGTAGTCTACTCTCTGTGCTTATACGTCTTACCTATCCCCTGTTTCTGCTACTCAAAACGCAGTTCGTGCAAATTGATTCCACTCTAAGCAACCGGTTTCATCCAGCTTATTGTTGCTCTTTTACGTAACCATTCATTCCTGATCAAGGGAAGGTAATCCACTCAAGCATCCAATACCTTTTGATATAGGATTTACGTGTGAAATGTTGCCGCTTAAAAACATTTGTAAATTGTAAGAGTATGGGCTTCATAGTTTTTTCTTTGAAATTAATTTGAATATAGCAGGAGTTCTACACTAGTAATTGCTGTGTATAGCGAAGTAGCCGCAGAGCAATTTACCGCTTGAGCGGATTTTCTTTAGAATTTCCTGCTGGGATTAGATTTATTTACTCTAATCAGTATTGTGTGGTTGCACTTGTTTCTTTTTTTACTCCGGGTGAGATGTGTACAAGACACTCAATCGCAGTCTCCAGCATCACTATCATTCAGCGTTGTGTTGTCTGGAATCCAGATAAGGTTCATTCCAAGCTGCAGCTGACGTTTCTGATTTGCTGAGTATCAGTCTATTACATCAGTTGAACCCACACCTGGTGATGTCCAATTAATAGTTAACCATGAATGCTTAGCTTCTGAAGTCACCAATTGCGCAATCCATGATTAGAGGGGTTTTCTGGCTTGCTCATCTAGATTAATCTGGGTAACGAGGGTCGTATGGTCCTTACAGTCAAATATGCCAACCAAAATTGTTACTTCGGATGTAATTGTGTATCTGGCATTAATTGTCCTACTCTCGGTTAGGTGCAAACTCTGGAACGGGTTCAGCAGGTGGATACTGTGATAGGAATGTGCAAACAAGCGGCAAGCTTGCCGCATGAAAAAAAGCAGTTGCTTGGAAACCTGCGCCTATTTCGTCTACGCGCTGATTAGTTCGCTAGAGCCGGTTTGTTTAACTGATTCAATCAAAGGATCTCGTGGGTGCAGCAGCGTCGTTAGTTATGGAAATGACTTAGTTATTTATGTCTACGTTCCTACATGCTTGTCAGCCTGTTCATTTTGCTGACGTCGCTTTGCTGAATAAACCTTTTGTCCCTGAAGGACCGAGTTCTGGGACATGATGACAGAGGAGGGATCGGAATGCGATTTCCTTTAAACACCAAACTGTCATATGCCATTGATTCATCGCGGAAGTTAAAGAACGGCATTAATTGCTACGGAAGTTGATTCTTTGTTTCTGGCCATTCCTTCCAAGCCACACCGCGCAACGCCACGCAGGTCGCGTCAGACTCGGCATGACTAACACTTTCAGGCGAACTGTCGCTCCTGCCACCTATTGTACGAGATTGACTGTCTCGAGTTCTTCCTGCTGGTGTTCCGCTTGCGGAAGATCAGTTTTCGGCAGAGTGTCCTCGTTGAACATTTGCTTCCCCGGAGTGTATACCTGATCCAACTCGTATTTTTGGAGCTGAATAAGCATCCGTTGAAGGGGTCGAGGGACACTGTGTAAAGGTTTTCTAGCTATTGACACGAGCGGTTTATGGTCAGAATACACGGTATTCTTCCTTCCAAATGTGTAGTTGTTAAATCGCTCTATTGCGTAGACACCAGCGAGCATCATTTTTTCGATCTGCGCATGGCACTGTTCCACCACTGTGAGCGCTCGACTGCGGAAATCCTATGATTTAACATTCTGCGGGAGAACGGCACCTACTCCGCTTTCGCTGCTGTTACACTGCGCCTCCAAAGGTAGAGCTGCATCATAGCAACTAAATAGTGGTGCACAGATAATAAGACGCTTGAGGGTTGTAACTGCTGCCTAATGCTCTTCTTCCACACTCCGCTTTACACCTTTGTGGGTCAGTCTCCGAGTTCTGCGACAGCTACCAGACACATCCCCAATTTACTGGGTATGTCAAGAGAAAACCGATGCAAAAAACTAGGACGGTACCCCGTATCGTATCATCGGTTTATCAATGACCACATTAAAGAGCACCGGATATTACTGTTACATCCGTCGATGCTATTGATTAGTTAGTTCAGCCACACCGCGTTCTTATTGCTTTTCCTCGCATTGACCAATCAATAGTTCCTCACTCATGCTTTAACTCGTGTGTCAAGCGAGCCATGTCGCACTGCTTTGCCCGATACACTTTGTTTCGTACTGTGTCTTGTTCTCGCCCAACTGCGGTCTGAGGCGTGGTTTGCCTGAATTCGTTACTAGGTATTACTGGCGACGGGTGTAAAATTGTGACACTATTACATCGATCCTTGGATAAATATATCACACTGTGGGGATTAAAACAGAAGGTTTCTACTTCGAGATACTGCTTTTCAAAGCTTGTACAAAAATCGAACGACAGCGTCAACAACTTCATTGCATACATCCATCTGTTTATACCCAAGTCTAAGTACAGTAAAGTTCCGCCCGACAAATTTGAAGAAGAAATAAAAATACAGTGCTTAATTGTGTGGCTTCTGGACGAAAGTGCGGGGGAAAAATTGTTCTTTTTGAACGAGTCAGATACCACGCGAGAGAAAACTTGTCTAATTATTCGACAAAGGGAGAATATCTCGCAC